TCAACCCCATCGTCCATTACAATTGCAAGAACAACAATTATCAGTTCAAAAATTCGTAGATTCGAGTGATGTTGTATCGGTTTAAAGATTGAATGATGTAATCCGTCAGTTCATCATTTTCCCAGTTTATGCAGATAAGGTATGTCATTTTAACTAATTTCTTTTAATTGTGTAATAAATTAATTATTAGCTTAATAATTAATTAGTGAGGTTAGGATTCTTTTTTCTTTATATAATAATAATTAATTATTAGCTTAATAATTAATTAGTGAGGTTAGTTGTTCGTTTATTTAAACTATTAACGTAATTTAGTGAGGTCATGTTAATTTTCATATTATTAACAATATATTATTAAACTATTAACGTAATGTAATTAGTTAAATTTAAATATAAATATTAATTAGTTAATGTGATGCATAATATAGCTAGGATTAGGCCGGTTTGTTTAATTAATTAGTTAAATAATGAGTTTATATCACCAATAATTAGGCCGGTTTGTTTATTAGCAATTATTGTTATTAATGCATAATTTAGGATGTGTAGTGATGATTTAAGTATTAGCTAGCTTATTATAGATTAATTAATTAGTGACTTGTAGTGATTTAATTAAGTTAGCTAGCTTATTAGGTTATTAATTATCACCAATTATTATTTATTAGCAATTATTGTTAATGGGATGCATAATATAGCTAGGATTGAAACTTTATTATTATTTAGTTTAGTGTGAATTATTATTGTGAATTATTAATGAGATAATATTTAACAATAATATTAGTTAAATGTAAATTAATTAACTAATTAATTAAGTTAAAACATTGAGGAAATGGGTTTAGAATTTGAGTTGATAATATTAGTTAGATTTAAATATTAGTTAATTGATCAATGATGATGATTAGGTTTAATTTGTTTATTAATTAGTTAATTATTGTTAATGCATAATTTAGGATTTGTAGTGATTTAAGTTAGGATTCAAACTTTATTAGTTAAGTGTGAATTATATATTATTGTGAATTAATGATATTTAACAATATTAGTTAAATGGAAATTAACTAATTAATAAGTTAAATTAGTTAATTATTGTTAATGGGATGCATAATATATATAGCTAGGATTGAAACTTTATTATTATTTAGTTTAGTGTGAATTATTATTGTGAATTATTAATGAGATAATATTTAACAATAATATTAGTTAAATGTAAATTAATTAACTAATTAATTAAGTTAAAACATTGAGGAAATGGGTTTAGAATTTGAGTTGATAATATTAGTTAGATTTAAATATTAGTTAATTGATAAATGATGATGATTAGGTTTAATTTGTTTATTAGTTAATTATTGTTAATGCATAATTTAGGATTTGTAGTGATTTAAGTTAGGATTCAAACTTTATTAGTTAAGTGTGAATTATATATTATTGTGAATTAATGATATTTAACAATATTAGTTAAATGAAAATTAACTAATTAATAAGTTAAATTAGTTAACTTTAGTATTGTGAATAAATGCCATTAATTAACGTAACGTAATAACTTTAATTAGTATTATATGTTAGTTAATTATTTAATGTGTACTATTAGATTTTCATAATTTTAGTATTGTGAATAAATGCCATTAACGTAATAATTTAGTGTGTTTGGTGCACAAATTTTAATATTGTGAATTAGTTAATAATTAAAACGATTAATGCCATTAACATATTACTATTAGTTAAATATTAGTAAATTATTAATTCCGGCCAGCTTAATGTTTCTAAATAATATTTTAGTGGGCGTTTCTACATGATTGAAAAGTTGGTTAATTCAAATTATTAATGCCACAAATAATGTACTGCTTTTAGTTGATTAATAATATTAATGTACTTATATAATATTTTGATTATAATATATATACAGGCATAATGTATAGACAAAACAGAAGTTGGGTGTACCAAAAACATCGCGGTGAAGTGTTTTGTCACGGACGGTGGCCGTGACAAATCCGTGACAAACGATCTCACGGATTAATTTCCGTGACAAAAACGTTATCACGCCCCTGGTGTCACGGATTTTTTCCGTGACAAATCCGTGACAAAAAATCATTTGTCACGGATTTTTTGAACTACCGTCCGTGACAAAATCCATGACAAAGGGCGAGTTTTTTTGTAGTGTGCTTTAGATCAAGTATTAAGTGTTTTTTAGAATTTTTTTATTACATTATTTGATAAGTATTCAATTGATTTCAGTATAATTAAGTATTTAGATTGAGATTTTTTAAGATTAATAGGGGTCTCGATTTTACGTTTGGAACGAGACCTCCAAATTCTTTAGACGGCTCTGTATAGGACAAGTATGAGACTACTATAAGAACATCGAATAACACTTGATATCCTACGTTTTTTTTATTTTTAGTGAGTCATAAATGTTATTCAAGACAGTATTTTCTAATTAACTATCAATTCATTAAATGTAACTTAAAAAGTCAGATATATAACTTTTCAAAATTTAAATTACTTTGCAGTGCTCAGTCAAAGATGAACTTACCTGGTATGTTCCCTGTGTGTGTTTATGTGAAATTAATTTTGACGTGAATTATAATTATTGTATTTGTGAGATACTGAGTATGATTTTGGAGAAGTATCTGAGTATGAAATTATGAATTATTTAAGTTATTCGGGATATGATTATTTGGACAAGAATTTGGAAATTTAAAATTACTTTATTATTTGATATATTGGGTCTGATTTTGGATATATAAGTTAATTTATGATAATATTATATGAATTTTGGAACTATCAAATTCGAGTATATAATTATGTATTTACCCGTTGAGAATTTTGAGGAGTTACAATATATTATATATTTGAAAATATGCGACTACAATAAATATGAATTAAAACTTAATTATTTTACTTTATAAATGATCTGAGATCTTTTGATGAATATTATGTATTTCGAATAGTATATTTGATTATACTACTGTTATACTACGTATAAGAGTTATTATGCCTATCAAAATTAATATTGTTGGTAACAAATGATCTTACCAGATTTTTTACGAACATAAAGAATATGCATTTTACACGAGTATATCCCGTACAATCAGTACTGATTTTAGGAAAATTTATATTTATTTGTATGGCTACAGTAATAGTTTACATGTTTTCAAAAAATTATATGCCGGTATTTTGACCAGTATCTATTTTACAACTATTTTATCAAGAGGGTATATTTTCCGAAGTTAATATTTTACTTCATTGGCAGATCTTGAAAGTGTTTGACATAGAAAATATATATTTTATATACTCATACAACTAGTATTTCTTTTTGAAATTTTATTTAAATGTATAACTATAGTAGATGTTAATATTTTCAAAAATTATTTGTATTATTATTTCACATCAAGTGAGGTTTTTGAAGAATTTTGATAAAGATATATTTGAAATTATTTAGAATGATGGATTAAGTAAGGATGTTTTAATTGGACTGAAATTTTTTGATCTAGTCTAGTCTGAGCTCGTAGATTTATGGTCATTGCGTATTTTATTACTTTCAAAATCTGATACGAGATTAAAAACAATTCAAGTAAAAACATCATAATTGTTTTGTGAATCAACATTTCTATTTTTCCATCGATTTTCTTTAAACCCAGTGAAAACCCATCATATGATGGGATAAGGGCCGGAGAACACCTTACCGATTTATTAGGGGGAGTGATAAGGATTCAAGGTAGAGGGACGTAGAGCCAATTAGGCATAGGGCTTGTTTGGCAAATAGCGGTTAGCGATTAGTGGTTAGCGGATAATATTAGCAGGTTCTGAATAGCGGATTGATTCAGCGGATTTGACCGACGGATTAATTAGGCGGATTGAAAAAAAGTGTTTGGTAATTTAGCTGTTTACTTTTAGCGGTTTATAGATAAAAAGATATACAATTTAGTGTATGTTCATTGTTGCTTAATACAAGTACTTCGTATGATGTTATAATTAAGAGTACAAATATATACTTCGTATTTTAGTTAATTAATAATTTAATAAACTAACTCAAAAATACTATAATAAGTAAGAGAAAATACTCCCTATAATCAATGGAGTAGTGGGCGAGATTGGACGCATGTTAATTGGCCTATTGCCAATGTAAAAATATTTCAATCGCACATACAATGAAGTGATATATTTGAAATCGTGGCATCAAATGCGGAAGTCTGCAGATTAACTCACGTAGAGATATTTTTGTTTACCAGCTAAGGCATACGGACTTGCGGATCATTGAAGAAAAGGGAAGGTCACCGGAAGTGAAGGGTAACTTTGAAAATTTGTTGCGATTTTGGATCCGCCGTTCGTAAATGCTCCAACTTGTTGCGTTTTCTATTTCGGCGTTTGGGATCAAAACGCTGATGTAATACGCCATATACCAAACACTTATTTTCAGCATTTTGACCGATTAAAAACGCTGAACTTGGTCAAACCCGCCAATATTAGGCCGAAACACCATTTACCAAACATGGTCATGGTCATAGTGTGAAATAAAAAATGCGTGTAAGATAGGTTAATAAAATAAATGTAAAAGTAATGGTACAAGGTTAATTTTATAATAAAAATTTCCAAAAATGGAAATGTAAACTTTATTAGGACTTCTGAAAAAAGAAACTGAGAACTTCTTTGAAAACCGGAGCCTCCGGAGGGAATATATTAGTACTCCTCAGTCCTCATACGGGAACTTTATCTTTTTCACACACAAATAAAACAGGTTTTACATCAAAAGTATATATTGAGAGTATATTATATATACAAACCAGAAAATGTGTTTCTAAAGTCGAATTAGAATTAAATTGGTAGATGATTTAGACATTTAGTTAGAGTCCTTGACTTCAAAAAAAAGTTAGTCCTTGAATTAGACTAATGTAACTACTGTATACTCCATTGGTCCAAAAGAACGAACTCATGCTTGTGTAATACGGAGTACTAACATGAGGACAGATTCACAGGTATAGCAAATATTAACATAAGGAGTAAGAATTAAGAAGTCAGCGCGCGCGCAAAATGACAGATAATAAAGAGTACCACACTGGCTTTCTATCCACTACACTCGGTTTGCTTCAAGCCTAAATACAAAAATTGACTTAATTTATTCCATTCTATTAGTACATACATCAAAGAACATCTTTTGAAACAATACAAGTACAACTGAACCCACTTCAGAAACAAATCCATACTACCTCCACCACAACCCTAAAATGAATATCTACAAAATATAAACAGAAGAGCAGAAATCGGAACTTCAAGCTGAATAGCATAAATTTAAACACATCTCATTTTCTGGTTCACAACCCAAAAAGCCTTTAAATTAGGATTTGTTAAACGGGATAAAAGAAGAAACATTTGTGAAACCCAATGTGCTGTAATGAGGAGTCATCTTTTCTGTTGTTCATTTCCATATTATCCAACTGCATTTATCTACTTCAGCATGAATATTCACCTTATCATCAACCTTTCATTTCCCATATACTATTCTGCATGGAAAAGACAATAGAATTGTTAAATATAATTTACAAAAAAAACAGCCAATGTTTAGTCAAATGTTACTTTTGAACCCCGTGTTCGTTAATTGCTTTGTACCATAAAGTGCCCTCGTGTTCCAAGTAAATATGTATCTACATGATTGCTTGTACTAACTTTATTAAACTATAATGGAGTAAGAAAAGAACAAATAAAATTCAATCTAAAAAAATTAACATGCACAAAACTGTATACCTTGGAAACGCTTCATAATAGAAAACTAAGAAGATCCCTTCAAATTCTCAAATAAAAGTCTGAGGAAAAAAGGAAAACATTGGGTGTTGCACGCCGCACTTGTTAGCCTGCTACCTTTATTGCACCCATTTCATCAATCTTTGAGCTCTTGTGCTGCAGTGTGTCAGTTAATAGTCGGACAACATTAATAGCTTCAGATAAAATAAGAGACTGAATAAAGTAATGAAAGAGGGTATGAAGGGTAATATATATTTTGTCTTCAAAAGCACGTGATGCAAACCTAGGACACTCATAGGAAGTTGGAAAACCAAAGAATTAACTCTTGAACATGTTACCTTGCTCTTCTTGTGCCTGTGATCATTGATATCTTCCTCTCCGTCATGCTTCCTTTTCTAGAGTTGACAAAAAAGTTATAAATCCGTTAGTAAATCAAAATTATTGTCAGTCAACATAGTATCCTACCAATGTTAACTGCCAAAAAGTCTAGAGAACATTCTATATCAAGCAGCATCGAGAAATCACTAGTTAATTATGATTCAAGAGTGAGACATCTTTAAGGGTCAATTTGGATGGAGGTTAATTCAGGGGCTGGATCCACAATTTCATTGATCACATCAACAAATTGGAGGGTGGGGTTGCGAATTGGGGTGGGATAACCCCCTCCCCCACACCCATATTTACTTTGCAACAAAGAATGTGAGGAATAAATTGTTAAAAGGAAGAAAAATAAATTGCAGCATGTAGAGAAAAAATTATCCCCAAGCATTTTTGCAAATGCCAAAATCGCCCTTCAAATCTTAACCGCTTGCAAACCAAAGGACTGCATGTTATTTTATCCAACCCACCCACACCCACCCCAGTTCAAGCTAAATAGCATCCACCCATCACAAAATTAATTTGCTAACTTAACTTTACTCTATTACCAGATAATTGGCTTCTCCAGAATTAAATCATAGGATCAGTTCACCACAAGCATCTACAGCATTCTAAACTGAACTGACAAAAACTGTTTTATCAGACCTTTTCACGATGCTTCTTTGAATGTTCAGCACCAGAATCAAGATGACCATTTTTATCTTTCTTTTTCTCTTTATCCTTATCTTTACTTCGGTCCTTGTGCCGATGCTTGTGCTTCTTATGTTCTTTATCCTTTTCCTTGTCTTTGTCCTTGTGCCTTCTATGCTTCTTCTCCTTGTCTTTGGACTCACTCTTAGATTTCCCCACTGTAGTAGGGATGCCCTTTTCAGACTAAAAAGAAAAACAGGTGATAATAAGTCAATCTTCAAGGGCACACACAAACAATATGATGTAAAAAAAGGTTAACAAAATCACATCTCGTGTGCACGGAACATCATTATCTGAGTAAAAGCAAAAAAGTGAATGTATTTTCCCAAAAACATCACAAACATGCATCAGCAAGTTTCTTACAGTGGGCAGATCAATTGGAGATGTTTCCCTCAACTGAAAAGCTTCCCCCAAAACATCTAAATCAAATGGCTTTATGGATGTGTTCATCTCTCTTGAAACAGAATTCTCCTCAATTAGCTGATCCAATTGCATCCCTTCGCCTTTCCTAATTTCTGTGTCTCCAACCACATTATGCAGATAGTGTGTATCTGAAATTGATAACGGAAGTGGCCTCTTGCAGAAATACTCATGATGAGGTAACAATCTGAAGCGGCTAATAAGATCAACAGCACCTGTAAGTTCTCTGGGGCCTGATATTTTAATGGAACCAAGCTCACTTCAGGTATCAAACTTATGTCTCTAAAATGCAGATCATGACATGGTAACAGAAGACAGAATAGCCTGATTACAAAGAATATCCCAGTGAAGCTCCAATTAAAAAGAAGAAGTGGATTTACTTCAAATCTCAGTTATACACGAGGCCCGCAACATTAATTCATTTCAGAATGACAGCAAAACTATAAAAACATAAAAGTGAAAAATCCTTGTGGTCCGAAAACACTCATTTCATGTTCTCATAACACGTTAAAAGCTATGAAAAGACATACTCCCTCGTAGTCTGTACCACTATTTCTGTCCCATTTATCCTTTTTCATATGTCTCACTAAGTTTGTCTCATACCATATTTGATCATATTTGTGGTTTAAATTCATTCTTAATTTATCCACACTAACCAATTTCATAACAACCACATAACTTTATTTTTCTTAATAAACGTACTCCCACCTCTTGTCCCAAGTCCCAACCTTTGTATTAACAACTTACCTCTTCCAAACTTTTTGTTTTCTGAATCCATCAACTTGCTTCAAGTATCGATTTGCTAGTCACAAACTTTAGAAGTTGATTTTATTTCACCAATGATATTGCTCTCAGGTTGAAGTGGAAGCCTGAATGAACACACCACCACGGCACCACCTGACATTTAAGTATATAAAACAAATGCTTAAATTAACAAGCGATGCAGTTCAAGACAAAGTAACTTAATATCTATAAGAGATTCCATTATCCTTTAGAGGCACACAAAATCCACTTTTGGGGATTTATCAGGCGGTTGTGAGCAGAAACTCCACAAGTACAATAAGTTCTAGTAGCATGTTATGCTACAAAAAGGTTGTAGAGCATGTATGCATAATTTGCAAATATAACAGGCTCTAAAATGCAATTTCCAATGAATACAACACAAATCGAGGAAAGAGAGCCAAAATTGCTAAAGCACGAGCTTGAATAGGTCAACCATCCGAACGATCTAGAGTACTTGAATGAAATAAACTCTAATCCCGTCAAAAAAAGTTGTAGAAGAAACCATTTCCACTACCAAATCATAGATATTTTCGATCATCCAACCTTCTTCACACATTTATAGGTCCGCCAATGCTTAATCTCAAAACAAAAGTACTTCTGAACAGGAGATTGAAACACGTCGATGTTTAAATTACTAAGGAGTAACGAGCATACTGGATTACAGTTAGAGATCCGAAGGAGAAACACCGAATCCCTCTCGCTCTGTGTCCCTTCACCCCAATCGAAACAGCGAGAAAACGAATTGAGGAGATTCTGGGTTCGTCTGCGATTGCGAAATTCTATTGTGATGGGGATAAACCCTAATCCTCGCGTTCCGGAGAGAGTTCAAAGCCTTTTCGCTCCGACCAGAGAGAAACAACGAAGAAAAGGGTCCGCAACAAAACAACCTCCCGTTTATTCCTTTTATTTTTCAGAAGATGTATAAATGTATAATGGGCCAGTCTTGAGTTTCTCATTCATTCACTTATGGGTTGACTTTTTTTTTGCTTCGAATTGCCCCTTGGGTTAAATGGTGTTTTCGGCCATTAGGCAATTTTAACTTGCGATCATTCCTAAATCCTAATTAATGTCGGACGAAATGTGCTACTCTTTATGTTCAATTTTAGAAACCACTATTTTGAGTCTAGGAAAGTCTAGTAAGTAGTAATTCTTCCCGGATCAGACCAGATTTGAATAATTATAAAAATACAAAGAAATCAGAACAGTTCAGACCAGATCAGGGCAACAAATTACAATCCAAGTAAAAACATCCTGAATAAAGATAGCAAGATGTTGGTCCAAAATAGGACGCTCGTAGACTTTTAGGAAAGCTACGTAAGAACACTCAAGCAGGAATTAGGAAAGTACGAATATGGAAAGTTGCAAAGGGATTTAGGTTCCAGGAATAGCATATAGAAGTTGCTTCCCCTAATCTGAATTACAACCCGCCTTTTATAGGCGTATACAAATCGTAACCGTTACCGATAATAATGACTAATTAATTACAATATTAATACGAAATTAAATACATAATTAATAGCGCATTAATTGTTCGACCGTTACTCTTCCGGGCTAGGAGGTCGGCCGGATTGGCAGGCTCCCTGTCGGGCTGGCATGCAGGCTCCAGGTTATGAACTTGGATCCATGGGTCCAAGTTCGGGGCTTGGGCTGATTAAGCTCTGGACCTAGTCTCATTACTCCATCACGAGTCCCCCATTCCCTTAGTCGAGTAGTAGACTCGGCTAAGAGGGAGTAGTCCAAGTCAGTTGCTCTTCTCCGAGACTAGAAAATCCCCGCCCTTATCCATGTTGGGGAGATGCCTCATTAAAAACCTTCATTAGGGAAAAACCCAATGGGAAAAAATCCGATCCTAATGAAGGGAAAAAGAGTACATCTGACGCCCCCCAAGATGAAGCAAGAGGTGAGATCCTCAGCCTTTATTGCAATGATCGCCATCTGCCAATAGGACGGCTAGAACTGTTCTTCTCGTCGGACTCAGACTCGTCAGGTTTGTCATTTGTTTCCTTGAAGACGGTATGACCCTCAGTCCCCCACTTCATTCGGTTAAACCTACACATAAAACAAACTAGTGTAAAATAGAGCATCTGGCCTGGTGTCGAACCACGGCTCGGTGTGTAAGTGAGTCGGACTCACTATTTGAAAAGAATGACATCAAGTTCCCAAGTTAGGGCTCAACCTAGTCTCCGAAAGAAAGATTGAATCCGCGAGTAAGTGAGTCGGACTCCTCACTCGAATGGATAATCTAACCCCAAAGAACTAAAGTATATCAACCTTTTCGAGAAACGTGAATGTCAATTAAGTGACAAAATTGCTCGGAAGAGCGTGGCTCTAGGCCCCTAATAAGAGTTTAACTCGCCGCCCGAGATTAGTAGTTCGAACCCGCAAGTAAAAACTTTTGAACGGGTGACTCGTCCCTCGAGGTCGGAGTGTGATGCACTTGGAAAGGGTAAGAGCACGCAAGAACTCGTATGAAGTCAAGAGTGTGCGGTATTAACATTTATATTGGAGCTTATTAATCACCACACCCATATGATGTGACCCGGTGGCGTGAGTGTGTGTGCTCAGCCAGTGTACGAGTGTGTGTGCTCCCCCGGTGTACATGAGTGATCGGATTTCATAAGCCCGTTTTTCAATGTTAAAATTACACACGCTTAACAAGATTAAAAGCAATTAAACCACTTAAAATTTATTTTCAAATGTTTGAATTTATGATTTTTTTTGTATCAAATATAGAGTATTTTTGGAAACTTAGCTTTAGAGCCAAATGGGCCCGAATGCGTTGCTGAAAAATCAGCCCATCATCCTTGAGGAGAATAAAATTTGGTCTTAGTGTAATCTTGGTCCATCCACTTTAACGCAGAGCAGACTCTTGCTCCACAAGAATTAGGTGGGCGCACATTTGAAGACCTATCTCATGAATAGGCATGACGATGAGGGAGACCAGCAGTGACATCGGCGCACGGCATCCAACTGTGATTGGCGAAGAGAACAGGAGGAAGTGGGACTGTAGCACCTTGGATTGGGATGAATTTCTTGAATTTTTTCCTACTAAAGTGATGTGAGAGATCAATAGAGGCTCTCAATGAAAGCACCAATGTTGGTCCAAAATAGGACGCTCGTAGGCTTTTAGGAAAGCTACGTAAGAACACTCAAGCAGGAATTAGGAAAGTACGAATATGGAAAGTTGCAAAGGGATTTAGGTTCCAGGAATAGCATATAGAAGTTGCTTCCCCTAATCTGAATTACAACCCGCCTTTTATAGGCGTATACAAATCGTAACCGTTACCGATAATAATGACTAATTAATTACAATATTAATACGGAATTAAATACATAATTAATAGCGCATTAATTGTTCGACCGTTACTCTTCCGGGTTAGGAGGTCGGCCGGACTGGCAAGCTCCCTGTCGGGCTGGCAGGCAGGCTCCAGGTTATGAACTTGGATCCATGGGTCCAAGTTCGGGGCTTGGGCTGATTAAGCTCTGGGCCTAGTCCCATTACTCCATCACAAGACATATTTTTCTTACATTTCTTTCATTTACATATCTTTAATGTTGAAAAGTTATCTATTTTTTAACATTCCATGAATGAGAGCTCAATTAATAATTCTCATCTTCAGTTATCAGCCTTAATTATCAACCAATTTTTATATGAAACACGTAATTTTTTTCGCTTGCTCTATTGTATCATAGTCATAATAATAAATTAAATTGAAGTTATTTATGCCAACTTTACAGTCACAATCGAGGAAACAGTAAAAAAAGTAAGTCTATGTAAAAAGAATTTGTTTTCCAGCTCCAATGAAGTGAAAGAGAGCAATGGTGATGCATGTTGGTAATTTTAGTGTCACTGGCCGTTTTGTGTAATTGGAAATGACATGAATGCTAATAGGGATTAGAATTGAGTTCTAATACAAGCTAGGAGGTGTGGAGTGCACACTTGTATATAAGAACGAGTTCTATTCCAAAGTGTCTACGGCAGTGGAACTCGCGGTAGAACACTCAGTAGACCAACTCTGTGGAGAGATACAACATGTCTTGATCACTTTTGGCATTTAAATTAAAGATAACAATCCATATATTCGACTAGTTTGGCTCTAGTTCTTGTGCCTAAGTTCTAGAGTGTCCTTAAGGATTATCCTAGATTGAATTTCTTATAACCCAGGCATAGGGGAGAAATATCAATTCGGAAAGTGAACTTACACGATCTTTAAGAAATCCAAGTACTCGATTATCACCCCCTACGTGATATACCCCAACAATCGAATTGATATTTTCTTTGTGATAATCATGAGTACCGTGGAAGAGATGACATCCAAGTTCAACAAATTGGACAAGTTTCAAGGGAACGATTTCCGTAGATGGCAAAAGAAGATGCACTTCCTCCTCACCACTTTGAAAGTTGTGTACGTGTTGAGCACTCCGATGCCGGAAGTGATGGAGGACGAAACCTTGGAACAAACTAGGAGGCGTAACAAGTGAGAGAATGATGACTACATATGTAGAGGCCACATTCTTAAGGGTATGTCCGATGCGTTATTTGATATTTACCAAAACGTTGAGAGTGTGAAGGAATTATGGAATTCTCTTAAGTCAAAATACATCGTCGAGGATGCTTCTAGCAAGAAGTTCTTGGTGAGTGATTTTAATAATTATAAAATGGTTGACTCAATGTCGGTTATGGAACAATACAATAAACTCCTTCGTGTTCTTGGTCAATTTAAACTCCACAAGATAGGTGTGATGAATCCTATGTCGTGTCGAGTATAATTGACAAACTTCCACCCTCTTGGAAGGATTTTAAACGTTCTTTAAAACATCAAGATGAGGAACTGTCATTGGTTCAACTTGGGAGTCACTTGCGCATTGAGGAAAATCTTCGTGTGCAAGAGAATGACCAAATTATGGGTGAAGTTGAATCTAGACTGGCTCATGTTCACTTGGTTGAGGATAATAAATCTAACCCGAAAGATAAGGGAAAGGCAAAAAGCGCAAGTATGAAGACCATGACAAACCCAACAAGAAACTGAAAGGTTTGGTTTGTTGGAGGTGTCTAAAGGTTGGACATGTCAAGCGTGATTGCCATGTGAAACTGAACAAGAATGGCGCTGGAACAAGTGGCAGTGGACAGGAACGGTCTAAGGACCTGATTCCATGGAAAGGAGGTCAGTTCGTGACTAACTTTGATAATTCTGTTCAGAATCATGTATCATTCATTCCAGAATCTTTTTATGTACAGGATGATGACTGTGCATGGTGGATTGACTCGGGGGCTACGAGCCATGTGTGTAAGGATAAAGGATGGTGTGAAGACCTAGAACCAGTGGAGGTCAGTTCCTTCTTTCGCATGGGAGACGAGTCAATGGTGCCTATCTTGGAAAAGGTGTAGTTGTTTTAGAATTTACTTCTGGAAAAACAATTACGTTGTTCACCCGTTGGTACCCCCATGGATCCTAATGTGAAGTTGATGCATAATAAAGGAAAGGTGGTATCACAACTTGAGTACTCTCCAGCCATTGGTAGTCTGATGTATGTCATGACAAGCACTCGGCCGGATGTTGCTTATGCCGTGGGTGGGTTGAGCCGGTTTACTAGTAATCCTAGTACTCAACATTGGCACGCAATGAAGAGAGTGTTCAAGTATTTAAAGGGAACCATGGATTATGGTTTGTGTTACTTTGAGTATCCTTCGGATTTAGAGGGATATTCGGATGCAAGTTGGATATCCAATGTAGAGGATCATTCTTCTACAAGTGGTTGGGTATTCTTGCTTGGGGGAGGTGCCATTTCTTGGGCATCCAAGAAGAAAACTTGTATCACAAGTTCAACGATGGAATCTGAGTTTGTTGCGTTGGCTACCGCCGGTAAAGAGGCAGAGTGGTTAAGAAATTTAATTTTTGAGATTCCATTGTGG